TCGCACGGTCTGAATCGGTCGGGACTACTTTGGTCCACACTGTCTGAACCAGGATTATTTGGTCCACACTCCTTCGTTTGTTTTGTTCACACGGTCTGAATCCGGATTCTGTCGGTCCACATGGTCTGAAACCGGATTAATTTGGTCCGCATGTTCTGAATCCGGATTCATTCGGTCCACACTGTCTGAACCAGGATTAATTCAATCCACTTGGTCCTAAGTCAGACTCCTTTGTTTCCATGCGGTCTGAATCCGGATTTCTTTGGTTCACACAGTCTGAAACCGGATTCTATCGGTCCACATGGTCTGAAAACGGATTCATTTGGCCCACACTGTCTGAATTCCGGTCCACACTCTCTGAACCAGGATTCATTTGCTATACACGGTCCTAAGCCAGAGGCCTTTGTTCCGAGCACTCTGAATCCCAATTTCTTTGCTCCAATTGCTCTGAATCCGGATTCTGTCGGTTCACCCGATCTGAACCGGATTCATTTGATCCACATGGTCTTACTGAGGACTCCTTCGGTCCACACGGTCTAAAAACGGGTTCATCAACCATAAAGTCTAAAAATAATATTGTCTGGTCCACACAATCTGAACATACCATGTTCTGGCCCCAACGGTCTGAACATAAAACCACGACCTCCGACCCGGGTAATAGATTTGACTAAAAAATCTACACATGATCTTAGACAAATGACCGAGAAGCAATATTTTGCCATTTTAATGAGGTTACGTCTCATTTATTATGCATCAAATCTTGAATCGTACAGAAATAGTAATTATACGTATTCTTTTAGATAATTCAGTTACAATTTTGCTCGAAGCTACGAAAACCAAAAATTTGAACAACAAGGTGTCTCAAAATAAGATTTTAACATTGCATAAAAGCAAAAATTGATTCTTTACTATCAATTGGAAAAATTTGGCGCCCGACATTCAGAAATCGATGTAAGAAAAAGTTAATTTTTCCCACAACCGCTTTCCCTCCCTTTCCCACACCTCTCATCTTTCTTGGTGAGTTCTTGATTTTCGCAGTCGACTTTTACTAGACGCGGACGAGTGTTCCTCTGAGAACGGGGGCTGCCAAATTAACTGCATCAACACCCCTGGCTCATTCTACTGTGGTTGTGCTGATCCAGGCTACCAGACATCTGCCAACGGATTTGTCTGCATAGGTACCGCTATTTTCATGCATGTATTGCAAATAATGATCCAATTTTAGAACTCAATTTTACCTGTTGCCAATTTCAGGTAGAAATAACTGACTTATATGTACAGATACGAATTAGGGCTTTAATAGATATGTATCAAGAATAGTCAAAAATCTGATGGCAAATAGTTTTTCTGTGAACATTTCTCCCAAAATTGATTCCACAAAATGGGATTTTCAAAACGGCAAGATGTCAGAAAATTGAATAACGGAATTTATCATTTCTAGACGCAGACGAATGTGTTCTGGGCACAGACGATTGCGATGAGTCATCTTCCACCTGTTCCAACTCAGAGGGATCCTTCAATTGCGACTGCAAAACAGGCTATGAGACCAGTGGACCCAATACATGCACAGGTACAGAATATATGAGTTGACCTGCATGTTGAAAGCTCTTATCGTACAGTCCATTCAAAGAGTCTATGGAAAAGCTCTTTAATGAATAATGTATGATCATTAAGCATTTTTACATGGCTAAAGAAAGGTAAAATTTCCATTCCTGCGGAAAAATTATGGTTCTTAATTTTGATTGCAAAGAATTTCTATGCTAAACAGTAGCAGATTTAGGGACAAAAGCGGCAAAAAAAATCAAACCTGGGTTCGTCTCGACAGAAAGAAGACCGCTTTTTCCCTCAATTCTGGTTGCCACATATTTCCAAAGGGTATAACTTTAAGACATCAACTTTGGTTGACCAACCTCAAAAATTTTGTAAGGGCGCCTTGGGCGCCAATATTACTAAATTTGAGGGGGGAACGCGCGCCTTTATAGTGCTGTGGGAGAGCTCGGATAATCAAATTGGTCGATCTAAAAAAATGTCATGAAATGAAAAATTTTAATTTTTTTTGAAAAACCGCCCCCTCCCTAGAAAAACTTCTGTGCACGCCACTGGTGCTACTTCATCAAAAGTTGTTCCTTTTTAATCTTGTAGTATCATCGATGGAATACCATTAATGTATTAAGGCAATAATTGGCTTTTTGTGAACTTGCATATCGGAATTATGTACATGAACATAGTCTGTTGATAATTCTGTTTCATTATACTGAAATTGATCTTCTGTTTCCTTCTAATCAAAGTGGTCGTTTTAATAGACCAGCTCCATGGTCCAACTATACAACCATAAAAACCGTCCATTTATCAACATTTTCCGTTTCTTGCTAAGATGTTGACGAGTGTGACCTTGGCATTGACATGTGTGATGACTTGTGTGTGAACACAGTGGGATCTTACTTGTGCTTCTGTCAGCAACCCAATCAGATTCTGCTCAGCGATGGGTTCTCATGCTCAAGTAGGAACAACCAAAAACAAGCAACTTGCACTAAAACGCAAAAAACTTATCCATGAAAGAACACTGAATCAAATGGCTGAAAAATTACTTAAAACTGAGTTATCAATTTGGTTTTAAGCCAGAGGTAGCTTACTCATTGAGTAATTTCAGATAAGGTACACTGTCTGTTCGTCACGATATCCTGTTTTTGGCCGGATAGATTCGTGCAACTTCTCAGTCTAATACCAATCCTAATCTTACTCTTATATCTCCTAGTCTCAATAGATCTAGTGTATACTTGTTTTGCGGGTTAGGTTTATGGAACTTGTTCCAAAGGAGAAGGAGTGTCTTCTAAGATTTATTCAAGCTGTTCTGGTGCTGAAACTACAAGTAGTTTCAGCACTACGAATAATTGTCAGTGTTAGTTTTGGATCAGTATTAATTAGCAAGAAAAATTTTCTAGAGATAGTTTTATCAAGAATACAATTGGTTAAAAATACTAGTTTTAAACTGGCTCCACCCATCCGGGATTCAGAGGGTTTTTAGTTTTCAAACTATTTTTTCTAGTGAAGGATGGATGGAGAGATTTCTGTTCTTCGGAGTAGTTTCCTTTTCAGCGGTTGGAGCAGTGGCTGCGTGAAGGAAAGAAAGATGTAGTTGTTTTCGTAGAGAAAAGAAGGGCAGTTGTTCGTGTTTCAGAAGTGGGTCTCGTTTTATCTTGGGTCGTCTTGAGTGATCGTGTCAAGATTTTAGATCAATGCAATGATGTATCGATTTCATTAAGTTTAGAGCGAGACTACTTGCAGGGTGAGGTTTGCCTTTTCCGTGCGAAGTGCCAAGTGACTAGGATCGGTATGTGAGATCAACATCGAGATGGCCATTGGTCTGATTCAATGGGCTTTCTTTGCTACGATGTTAGGTCCATACTTAAAATCCTTTGAGGGTAGTGACTTTGGTTTAATATAGTCAATCTTTCTAATATAAAGTAGGGCCATCCTAGAAAAGCTAGGAGTTCATTTTTAAGATTGGCTGGATTTCATGTGCTTTTATAAAAGTTTACCGGGATGTAGGATTTTTCATCTCTGCAATTTTGATATGGTTGTGCTGGGTCAATATTTATTTTTTCCTGTTTTCAAGTCGGAACTTTTTTTGTATTCGACAAGAATTTCTGAATATTGTGTTTTGAAAAGTGGTTTGGGATAATTACAAGCTACTTCTGTATCAGGGTAATTATGAAAACATGTTAATTTAATTTCTATGCAGTCAATTTTTTAATACTTTGTCCATTTGATCTAGGTCGATCAGGGTTGATCTTATCAAAAGGGACTGATTCAATGAAATGATTTTGGTGAAACTTTATCATTCTTGCGTGAATTTCAGCGACTTGAAATGTGGTACTTGTGTCTTCAGGCAACCAAATGATGGTTGCCTGTGTTCGAGTATTGGGATCGCAGTATTCTTGATCATTTTTACAAAGTAAGCATGCTCCTTGATACAGTATAGTTCGTCTTTTAAATCGCGTGTTAGTTGTGTTTTTCTAATTGAACTTTCCAATCAAAAAACCTTATTTCTTGGTTGCCTTTATTTTTTGTATCAGCTTTACAATTGGAGGGGTTATTTATTACGATATGTGGTATCCAGCTTTTGTCATGTAAATCATCAACTAAACAACGGTGTGCGAAGTCATACGGATATTGATCGTCTAATTTAAAATGACCTTGGTGTAGTTCAAGTTCTGCTTGATGCGCAGAGTCTGGGAGGACTTGAAAATTTACCATTTTACAGCTTGTTCTTCAAATTGACAAATTTACTTTTTGTCAATTTGTTATTTTCAATCGCTGATTTTGTTTTGCATTCTTCAGGGTTAAGATGCGAAATTCTTTGAATATTACTTTGGTAAAAGGATTGGTGACCGAGTCTTTTTTTTTTCATTTCAATTTCAGACTTGTGAACAATGTACTTTCTTTTTTGAAAACTTTTCGATTAACTTATATACTGTTAGAGTTATAGCTCGTCCTTTTTAGTAAAGAGTAGCTACTATTTTCGATGATTCTATGTCTTGTGGTTCGGATTCACTTTGTGTTATATGATTAGTTACGTAATTATGTAGTGTTTTTTGTTGGTTTTCTTCACAATCATAGTGTGTAACCAGGAGGACTTGTGTTTCTAATCAAGGGGGAAGGATTTTGATGAGACGAGGGTTCCAAAAGTACGAGGGGAAAAAGGTTTTGAGAAAAAAAACTTTGAAAAAATATATATGTGGATATACCTGAAAAGGAATTATAGATTTTTATGTGGCCTATTGTTCTTTTTACGGAGGTGGCCTACTGTTACGGAGGTGGCAATGATTGAGCTATTATGTTTGGTGGAGATATTGCTAGTGATGACGAACTGAAATATCTTGAGTACAGTTTTGTATACTATGTTCCTGTATATTTTTGTGGATGTCGTGTCTGTATTGTCATCGATTAAGTGCCCAATTATGTAGTCGATTACTATCAAGGCGTTCAGCAAAATGGGAAGGGGTGGTACAAATGTATTCCAATCTAGTCGTAAAGTTATACTAGTACTTAGATGTTCTCGATACCGATCTTCGATTATCGATATCGAAATTTAGAGAACACGTAGTGGTTGGTGTCTGACCTGTTAGTGAAGGTGTTGATGAGAGTGATAGATTTTCTGGTGATGATAAAGAGGTGTGTGATGGAATATCTATGGGTTCGCTTATCAAATTTGTCTCGCCTTGGGAAATTGCTTGGGTCATCCAATGTGGAAGACTTTGTGATGAGACGGGGGGATTGAAAGGATTTTCAAGAATTTGTTCGGAGGTTGGTGTTGAACCTAAATAGTCGGTTGGATTTTTTAGGGCAAATTGTCAGAAAATTGTATGAAGTGATGAAGGGAGCTTTGAATTGGTGTGGCAAGGTTTCGATTTCGACGAGGGTGAATAATATGTCTTATTATGGAGATGATAGGTTTTGATTTTGGCTCGACAGTCTGGTTCTGTGGAGGTTTTGCTGAAGTGAGGGTTAGATGTTATATGATGGTTCGTTTTGTGGTTCACTTAGGGGTGCATGGCGAATAGCTCGTAACAAAGGTTCTGATAATGATGCGTGGCTCTCTTCAAATATATAGAGGCTTTCCACAAACGAAATGCGTGAAGATGATTGGGGTTGGTTTGTTTGACTAGATGTTGGTGTTCTTGGGGGTCTTAGGGTGTGTTTTTGGGTGGATTTTTTTTGGTAGGTGGTAGGTTGTTGAATAGCAGCTTCGAATTATGATTGTTATGTTTTTTATTTACTAAAATCTATGTTCTTTATAGTATTCTTCTATAGAAAAAAATTAAAAGAAGTGATGCTAATGCAAATGTAATTATTGCTTTTTTATGCATTTGCATAAATAGGCGGTCATTGATTTTAGACAGGTTGTGGTCCGTTTTTATGAGAGAGTAGAAAATTATGAATATACTTTGAAAGATTTTGAAATGGAGGAGCGCTAATTCATAAAAATCGATAAAAAAAACGAAAAAAATCAAAATTGGAAAAGTGTTGAAAAAAATGAAAGTAGGGTTAAATTGAACAATTTAACGTGGTGTACTGAATTCAAAAGAAGCACTTGAAAAAACATTTGTCTGGTCAATTTTTTTAAATTTTTTTTTTGAATTGGAAGACAATTGTGGTCAATTTTTTATTAAGTTTTGACAAGTGGGTTGGATAAGGAGAGTTTTTGGTGAAGAAAAGTCTGAAGTTTTAGGTATGAACTTCCTAGTTTTATTTTTTTTTATTGGATGGTTAGGGGTTTTTTGAGAGCTATCACGTCTTTAAGCTAATTGATCATGTCGAAATTTGTCTTTAGTCTTATTTGGTTTTTTCCTAGTATAAGTTGAGCCAATATTGTTGATTTTTGTTTTGAGTGATATGAGAGGGTTGTAACTTTAATATGATATTTATTTAGGTCAATTATAAAGGTATTGCTTATTTTCGACCTGAGGGTCTTCTAGTTATAGTGTTAAATCTATTTGAAAGTAGGAATTTGCTAGCTCAAGATAGTGATGTTGAACTGCGGTGAAGTTTAAAACGATTTGGATTAGCTGATTTGGAACTAGGTAGTTCAGGATTGAAATTTAAAGATTCTCTGGAAATTTTTATCCAAGTATGATGGTTGCATCTTAGTTAAATAAGGGGAGTTTCTGAAATTCAACTCGCTGTAGTATTTGTGATTGTGGGGTAAAGATTTTATATTCTTTTCTGGGTTGATTTCTAGGACGCAATTATTGGCGTTGTTGTGATTTTTTTTTGTGTCTGATTTTAAAATTTTTTCTTCTAAATTACGATTATTTCTCTGTTTTTGAGGTCTTTGTTTTTGAGAATTTTTCGGATTTTTTTTTTGAATTTGTATAGTGATTTCTTTTTGAACTGTTTCGGGTAACACTGATGAATCTCGAAGTTTGGTGTTTTTGTTGTTTGTATTTTCTGTGTTGTCTTTCTACAATCAGTAGTTTTGTAAAGGAGTATAATTGTGTTAGTTCGCTATGGGCGTATTCTTCGGGTAGTATGTTAAAAGATTGTTTCTATGTTGTATTGTTTCATTCTTGTTGTGGTCGATAAATTTATTTGTAACATCTGTGGGATGTTCAATTAATTGAAATGGTCCTTATCGGATTGGTTGTAATTTTCCAGAAGTTCCTTTTTGGATTAAACAACTTGGGAATAAGACATATGTTCCTTTATTAAGTTTTCGATGCTGGTGTAAAACGTGAATTTATTTGAAATCGAACATTTTGTCTTCGTAATAACTTTCTAGTAATTTTTTGATAAATTTCGTTATGTTTTTATCTCGGTTCAAAATCGATTCTCATTGTGTTTCAGAGGCTAGTTTTAAGATTTATGGGTGTTGAGAATGATCTTCATTATGTGTACAGATTGGTAAATTGTAGTAATTTGAGATTTTAGTAGGTTGACAATAACCTTGTGCATTTTTGAGGAGTTTGCTGTGAACATTTTTGATTTTCATGGTTTTTG